ACTAACAATAACTTACCAGAAAGAGCAATACAGCAAACTGTTACAGAACAACATAACAGGCTGACAAACATTTTTGCTGTAATTATGAAACACAAGGAAATCTTCAAGATAAAAACTAAGCATAGAACCTCCGAGTGCCACAACTTGTGACTTGGCTTAACAGGGAAAAATTAAGACAATATTCAAAATCCAAATGCAAGAAAGTGATTTTTTCCTCAACAACAGAGCACACATTAATATTCATGCAAAAATTAAAGACATGCAGCTAAGAAAAAAGACAGTAGTTTGGGATATAGTAATTTGCTCTTACATGCAAAACAGGCAGTACCGACAAACATGTCAAGAGGATCAATTCACAGAAAACCAGGAGCAAATATTTGTGTGGGCTGTACCTTCTCTCCTGTATCCATTTTTTCCTATATTCTTGCAATTGTTAAATGTATTGTTATGCTAATAAAGCCTCACTGACTTAAGCAGTGTAACCTATATGAGGCTATGCCCAAGACATATTAAAAAGAGGAACAGGATAAAAAAAAAAAAAAATTCTGCATTTCCAGCAAGTGGCATTTTTACTAGACTGCTGATTCCCACCTGGTGAGGAACACCAGCATTTAAATTCAGTTATGGCACAGCATGGAACACAAGCTAATAATCTCTTCTAGATTTATTAGATTGGAATAAAAATTATGAGTGGCATGAGAGAGAAGAAAAAGAGCCACAAAAGAAAAGGTGATAGCAACAAGGCCCATACTGTGTTTTTGTCTTAAAAACAAACAAAAACCACAGTATGGGAACTATCATAGTACACAACAGAATTAATTAACCGCAATCCAGGATTTTCAAGTTTGGGGTTTTTTTAAGCTTTAAAAGTGTTTAGTCATTGAAGGAAAAAGCAGGGGGTTTTAATCACTGAAGTTTTATATGGGCATAGCAGTTATTAAAAAATAACAAAAGGCACAGTAGTACTACCTAATTTGCTCACTTTAGGACGGTTATTTTCAATTGCGTGCAAGTTTTCTTAATACTATGAATAAAATTTTCTGTATTAGATGTCTCCATAACCTCCTAATCAAAATAGTTCAGCGAATTTTGAGACTAATTATATGGAAATATATTTTTTCCAAGACCTTCTCTTTAGAATTCCTTAACACTTGCTTTAAAAAAAAAGGATGCAAAAAAATCCATCAAAAATTGACAAATTCATGATGTCCCCAAAATCATAATTACAAATGCCCAATATAGATCTAAGAAAACGTACCAGTTGAAATCTTAGAGGAATGCACCTTAGCAGCACGTCTTTTGCAGCTATTCCATTTTTTAGTACTATTCCAATTGCACTTCCCCCATCCCAACCAAATAGCCGAGCAACCAAAATTCGGTCATACTTGCTCTCTTAACTAATAGTTTAAATAAAACTTCCTTTTTTAACTATTACTTTTTATCCGCTACAGAGGCACAAGCTTACCACCTTAACTTACAACCATTGCATATACAGCTAGGATCTTGGTTGATTTTAATTAGAACACTACACCAAAAATACATTTGCACACCGTTATTTGATGACTTTCATGGTCAAGAGATCGGTAAACACTGAGAATACATCCACAAAAGCCCAGTAAGCAGACACAGCACTGATGAAACTTTGCACAACTAAGTAGGTATACTCTAACCCTTGAAGTATAATCAGTCATTTATGATAACTGCATAAAAAAAATTATTCTCTTGAATTGAACAACTGCATGGTAAAACAGGCTCTTTTGACTGTGTCTCTTCAAACACTAGGAAGGACCTCATGAACTGAAAAAGACTCCCAAGAGTCCAGGAAAAACAAAGGCACGTTACAGGTGGCTCTCATGATTTACTATGAATCAAAGACACTACCAGTGGGGAGACCTGCTTGGTATTTTGAACTCTTGAAAGGGGAAAAAGTATCTAATCTGCCTGATGCAAGGACAGAAGTAGCAGCAATCCTAAACTTCAACCAGGACATGAAAGCACTTAATATTTTAAAATTCACAGACAACTTTGATTTTCTTTCTCCTCCATGCTACAAAGTACTCTGTAAACTCATTTTCCACATGAATGAGGAAGAACTGTGTCCATAGACCTTAAAGCCAACTGACTGTTCACCTCTTGCCACTACAGCTTCTTGGTAGGAAGTTTTTCTCAAAACCGGTAAATCAGCAGGGTAAAAACAGAAAGGTGACCATTAAAGCAATTTAGCCTCAACTGGAAATTTCCATGGCCTACCCGTTGGATGTTACTAGATGCCAGACAAAAAGTACAAGTGCCAGTCTAACTGCAAATGGTGAAGACAGGGAATACAGAGGGGAAAAAAGATTGGGATAATAAATATAGGTGCCTTGTCTGTAGAGTATAACTTAGAGACATGTCATGCTACACAACTTATCTGAGGTGTGATGTTTGGTTGAAATATCAATGCCTGTATAATGGTTCAGATGATAGAAGGATCAAGTTCAAATTTATGCGTTGACACCATTGGTAAAGGCATAGTCTTTGGTTTTTCTTATATCAATTTCCAACTGGCAGAAACCAGTTACCGAAGTGTAGTCCTAGAATCATTGAAGCAGCATAGGACTTCGTTAATTCTCTGTGCAAACACAGGAGCTCCTTTTTAAGGCTGTCAACCAAAACTTCTCACCATTTGAACCCTTTATAGTTCAGAACCAACAGACTCTTTAAATGGTAGTACCTGTGAATAACATCCTGCAAGTAAATCTATGACCACGTGAAAAAAAGTCAGGTATTGAGGTAAGATACATTGATTCCCCTGGAGAAAAAAAAACAAACCAAACAACAACAAAAAAACCCCTACAAAATAATACAACAAAAAAGCCCCCAACACATCTCCCAAACAACAGAGCCAAAGGAAGGACAGGAATTTTAAGCACTTAACCTATGGAGGGCTCTCTAGTTCAGCTAAACACTAAGAGAAAGCATGTCTCCTAGGGTATATTTCACCTTTTTGTGACAACATAAGGAAAGAAATACTACGGTATTTCTGTTCCTGCCTGCTAAATATGGGGTCTGTCCCATTGCTTTTTGAATCCATTTATTGTCTGACAGAGTTTAACAAATAAAAGTGATGGTGCACAATTCTTGCTTATTTAACTTTTCCATGTCATTCATGATTTTACAGATCTTTGTCTTATCCTATCTCAGTGCCTCTTTTTCAAGCCGAGTCCTACACTATTTACTCATTCCTTATAAAGACGCTGTTCCTTGCCATTGTTCACTACCACGGCTGCCCTTGTACCTCTTTTGGTATCGACTGTATCTGTTTTGAATAGAAACTGCCTTTTCGTTTTAACATTAATTTCATTTGCCCTCTTACCACCTTGTCAACACAGGCTGGTGAGGTCTTTCAGCAGTTTGTGACAGCTGATCTTCGTAATAGCTCATTGCATAACTTAGCATAATCAGCAAACTTGGCTTCTGTTCCTCCTCCTTTTTCTAGATCATTTGTGAATACGTTGAGCTGTACAAAAGGCCACAAGTCTGATCTTTCCAAGACTCTGAAACCTCTCTCCTGTGAAAACCGGGCATCTACTTGCTTGGGGTTTTTAATACCTTTTAATCTTTTAAAAAACTATGACACAAACTCTCCCCTTATCTCCAGACTGTTCAATTTAAGTGTCTTCAGTGAGTTATGGTGTGTAATACTCTTTCAAATTCAAAAAAAGAAAGGAACTAACTCCAATTGGTTGTGATTTCCCTTCACAAAAGCTATACTGGCTCTTCACCAAAGCATCATATTTTTATTTAATTTCTTTAAAATAGTTTCTATCAATTTGTGCAACAGACATGTCACCCAATTTTGGGTGAAACTGGCCAACGGGGTCCAAAGTTACAAGACAGAAGCCACAAAGACACACTGGCAAAACACAAGCCTTATTTCTTTAGGAAACCAGTCCAGAAGAATTATGTAAAAATACAAACTGCCACCTATAAAAACAATGTGTTATTTGATATTGAAATGTATTCTATGTTGGCCTGCACAGAGCGTTTCTGCTATACACACACTATACGCACACCTGTGTGCACACACACACATATATAAGTATGTATGAATTAAGCTTGATTTTAATTCTTCAGGTTTATATCCACTATCTTAAATCACTGTAGACTCTATAAATTGAAAGTTGATTGCACACCAAAAAAAAAATTCGATACATTCATTGTAAAACAGATTCCCACCAGAAAATGAAAAATACAACACGAAGTATAAAAACATCATGTCCAGTACAGTATTCCTTCATACTTACACTCTAATCATGGTGGGTCTCTACACCTATAACTTCATACTCTGTTGCCTTGATAAATGCAATCTTGCCCAACTTAAATTCATACAAAATATTACCATAAAGATACTTTTTCTGGTTCATTACTTTGACTATGTCACCTTTCTGCACTCCTTCAGTGCCTCCCTTATCCCTTCACCATCAAACATGAACTACGTATCTTCATTTGTATGACCTTTCAAATACAAAACTACAGCACATACGCAAACTTTAATTTGCTATCAAGATGTCAGCCTTGGCCACCTCTTTGCCAGGGCTAGCCTTAGTTGTCTATTCATCAAATCTCCCAGATAAACCCCTCTGTTCTTTAACTGACAGCAGCACTTTTGCATGAAACATGCAAAACTTTGTGTTTTCCTCTTTTAAATCTTTCCTTAAAACATTGTTCTGATAACAGACATTAGTTAGACCACTGAGGAATTGTAACCAGCATTTATGCTACTAGTCATAAGATAGTCATTATCAATACACACTTCCACAGATCATTTTTAAAAATCTATGTGCTCTACAATGATGAGACTATGTAACATTATGGGGAACTTCTAGCCACTATAATGTTTTCACAATAAACACAATGTTTATTAACTTATTTTCCAAACAAATTATTGTTTCTTTTAACAATGAAGATAAGCAGGTCAATAACATGGTTTGCTATCTTAAACTCTTGTGATAGTTTACCTGAGTTGCAGCAACAACAGTAGTTATAGAAGGCGCAGTTGAAGGTGATAGAGCTCCCACTTGCTGCAAGTGCCCTGAAGCCTGCTGAGGTAAATGAGAACTGGAAACGGGAGTGCTAGATCCTGAGCCAGATACTGCATTTGGAAATGATACTGCTACATCATTGCTGCTAAAAATACCTGAAAAAAATTACAAAAATGATTATATGCATCTCTCTCTCTCCCCTCCTCTCTGTTTTCTAGTAACCATGTAAATATGCAGTAGAAAATTAATCAAGACAAACAAGATCACTTAATACATAATGCAGAAAGCTCCTGTGTTGAAATTCTAACCATGCTGATTGACAAAAGTGCTTTCATCGTTTGACATTCTACAGTTCAGGGAACAGAGACTGATTCAGTTCTAAGTCTTTGTAAAACATGTGATATCTATGTGCATTGCAAACTGCTCAAATATTAACAGTAGCAGAATTTTTGGCTAAAATGCCTGCCTTCAACTGAGTCTGATAGTAGAGTTTGTTCTTTCAATGAATTACCGTAAAAATTAAGTAGATAAAGAATGAAGTGTTGGGCTATATAACTGAACATACACAACACAAATGGAAAATACTTTTTAACTTTCAAGTAAAATGTTTCTAAACAACATACATTTGTCCAAAACTGTAATTTTGGCAACAAAGGATTGCTTGTGTATTTTCAGAAAAATATTGACAGCAAGTCTGAGGACAAAGTACTCAGATTTGCTGGTAGAACTGGTGTTACTTCATTTATTCACAAAGTGAAACTCCATCCATGATCTACGAATGCTTGACTAACATTTCTGCTAGAACAGCCAACAAGTAAATGACTAAACATGTTAACATTAGTCAGACTTGTATGTTAGGAATTTAAATAGGAAGAGTTCATACCCCTCTGTGAAGCCATTACTTCTGTTCATCTACATGCAGGGTAAAGTTCATTATATAGGTTGGGGAAAAAACCCTACTGACCAGAAGCCCAGGACAAGAAGTAGTACCTGTCTATGAAACCGTTAGGCTCCACGTGCATTAGATAAGTGAGCTGTCAGCTGGCCAAGGAATATCAAGCATGGTAGCACTGAACTGCAGTTAGAGGAAGAGTGCCACAGGGAGTAAACAGAAGTAGAATGAACATGGTTAGATCAAAAAAAGCAACAGAACTGAAATGCCAGTTAGAAGGCAAAGGGTGGAGCTAGTTTGTCACTCATACAAATAATGACTTGAAGAAGGCAGTGACAATAAGAAGGTACGCAATGTTAAAATACCACTCACCACCCAGCAATCCCTCTGAGCACAAGCAGTCAAGGGAGACTATCATCCAAACCCACATATAATATGCAAACACTGATGCATCTTAAATTCCCTGCCTCTCTTAACTGTCAGGAAAAATTGAAGGGAAAACCACCCAGACCCAGTAGAGAAAGAAGATATGAAAAAAAAGCTGAAGACACATTCTGACAACACTTTTTTCCTGCCTAATCGAGGTTAGTGACTTCTTTTCATCTTCTCCCCAATCTCTTCATCATAGTGCCAGTTCCATACCTGCTCCGCTTTTCTACTGACCTTCGTATCTTTTTCCATTTAGCTCACCTTCCCGAGTCATCTTTCCCTCTTTTTTTGGTCAGCGTCCCAAAAATCTACAGTTATGGCATTACGAGCAGTTAAGAGCCTTAAAGTGTTCACTTTGTTATGACCTTTCTCCAATTATATCTGCCTCATCTAACTAGACAGTAAATTCTATGGTTCCTGCTCTAGATTTGTCCCTACACATCACCAAAACAAACATGATTAACAAACAGCCTTGCTACTGAGTCTACTCTTACATGCAATATAATTACAGCCACAAAAACTGAAATATACCCCAGGTCCTCAAAAGATTTTTTAAAAAATCTGCCTCAATCAGAGATTTCAAATTAATAAAAAGGATGAGATTTTTGACCCTTTTTATTTTGAATGCATTAAAACAATTAAACATACAAAAATTCTCAGAAAATATGAGATTGTTATGCAATTATCTGGCTCCAGGAACTGTGAATTTTAAGAATAAAAATAATGAAATATCACAACACTTATGATTAAATCATAAGAGCTTGTCACCACAAATGCTATCACTCTCATAAAATGTCAATGGTAATGAGAGGAGAAAACAAAATTTTTGGTGAGAGTCAAGTAGTAAAAAAGAAAGCTATTTTGCCAGAAAGGTAAAATAACTGCAAAATTTTAAAGCTACTGTAGGGGTTTTTTCCTTAATTTTTCAAAATCTTACACATTTAATAACTGCAGAACTTCTGCAGCTTCTATTTTAATGATAAGGTTTATTCTTCCTCTTAAAAATAAAATTCTGGAATACAAGCCAATAGTTATAAAATCATGGCATAAAACTATTTCAAAAGAAAGACAAGCAGTAAACTCGTTTGCCAGTGGAATGGGGTAAGCTATTACTTGCTGCTACGAGTAGTAGTTGTAGCAGTAGTATAAAAAAACACTTGGTATTTGTTGCTGTTGCAAAATACAGGACAAATATGACCTATCTGCATACTTTGTTTGGGCCAAGTATTTCTATTTAGCAATACTTTACTTAATACATAAAGTACATGCACCTTCTGGAACTAGTCATGCAACCAAGATATTACTCTATGCAAGCATTTGAATAAGAACTGTATGCTGAACATACAAATAAATCCTTGATTTTCACATCATTTAAAAAATGCCTGTATAAAACCTCCGTGTGTATCATATTAGAAAGCAAAGAAAGTACATATTAAAAATGTCTCAAACATATCAAGTTGTCCTTTCGGGGTTTTGGGAGAGATAATTCACTTTCTGGATCAGGAAGGAATAATAACGAAAGCCTGAACAAATCACTATAAACCACATTAAAGTTTAAAACAAACCAACCACCTTGAAGTCCTTCCCATATTACTGAAAAGCCAAATAGCTATAGTTTGTGATGAAAGGCATTGTGTAATTTGCCAGAGGCATAAACAGTAAGGTTAAATACACTCTTCAGCGTTTTAAACAGACCACAGTTCTTCAACTGCTGCTGGAAATGGACATATAACACTGTTCAGGTAAAGTTTGACTGTGCTTAACACCGCTAACACAGCTGCAGAACATGCTTTCAGGTTCTGACAGATAAAACACATATATAGCCTGCACTGCTGGAGTGAAAGGCTTAACAAAAAGGCAACTGCAAAAAAAAAAAAAAAATCATCTCTGGACAACAAAGAACTGCCTGCTTAGCACAGGAAGATAGTACCACAGAGCAGGAAACACACCAGATCATGCAGATTGGAAAAAACTGTATTCTTTTTGCTGACAGTCAATGACGAAATAGAGGAAATAAAAGAACTTCAAGAACAGTGAAAAACAAAAATAGCCTCAAGTCAGAACTAGCTGTGCAGTAACGTACACCAAGTGGCACACAGAACAATTTTTGTGATTTTATTCAAAATCTCAAAAATAAGTAGTTCCATGAGCAGAAGAATTAACAAAACAGATTAAATTCTGGCTTTCAACAGTGCTGCATCTAACAGATTATATCAATATACTTTTCCACCACGATTTCAGTATCTAACTACAAAATCCTCAGTTCTTTTTATTTTCTGGTACTACAGCCCCTTATGTTTTTCAGCTCCCTCACATTCCCTTCCTATGCTTGTGATTGCCTAGTTCAGCAAGAGACAAAAAACAGGCAGTGGCCACTCTTGTAGCCACACATTGCCCATCCCTATTACAGGAACTTACATATTTTAGACTCTTATCAAGTTTGCTTGAAATTGGACAACAGGCTCAAAGCTTACGGTGGGCCAAAACCAAGAGTGACAGCATGTAGACCGCTTCCTTAGGAACCTAGGAAAATGTTTTCCCTACCATAAAGCTGTATTTTCTTTTTTACACCAGTACCTTGAAACTCTTGCAACAATTGTGAAAAGAAGAAGTTGTTTGAGATACCTGTTGTAGGTTGCTGATCCTAGCATTTTTCCAAAACTTAAGGAATAAGTAGAATATGGTCAAAAAGGGTTTTTTTAAAATGTAAACTTGCAACTCCACAAAAGTTGCACAGAACTACAGAACCTTCCTACTTGAGGGAGGACAGACTGACAAGGGGCAGGGGGGTGGGGACAACAACCTCAAAGGGACTTGAGCAGAATTCACAGAAATAAAAGGAAATTTTGGATTATAAGAACAAAGACTTATTTACAAATACTGAAGCTATATACACATTTTCAGTATCTCCACTTCTTGGCGATCTCAAAGTCTCCCATTTTAAAAAATTACAACTTTCTATACAGAGCAAAATTAAAAACTGCGTTTAAATGAAGCAGCGCATAAATTAGTAATTAAACATGTAGAAAAATTGATTAAGTTCAGTTACATAAGAAAGAACATGTTCTCTTCCAGTAGAATGTTAATAGTGGAAAAAATACCCCACTACTTCTTATTTTGTAATAAGGGCATAAGCTAAAACGAATCTAATGCTAAACACAAGCAAATAAAACCAGATTATTTCAACACAATTGTTTAAAAAAAGAAAGCTATGTTTGAAACTGCCAAGTCAGCAACATTTCATTTCAATTAATCTGAGATAATGAAACTATAGCTTGGATGCTAGGGCCAACCTGTTTCCTTCATGAAAAAATCTGAAAACTAAGGATCAAACAATCAAGGTGTTTTCCTGCTGCTGCTGAGCAAAGTGATAGAGTTCACTTTCTACAAGATTCTGCAGTAACAGTTCCAGAAGTGCACGGAAATTATACTTACTGATGTGCAGCCTGACACCAAGACAGCGTTTTCCTCCCTTTCAGTGACTGGAGGTCCTTTTTTGATGGAGGCACAGCAGCCCCTGTCACAGATCAACAGCCAATGCCTTCCTTTCATGAAGGGCATTCTGTGTCCTCTCCATGATGAGGTACAAGGACAAAAAGCTCCCAGACTCAAAGTACCCAAAGAATACAGACCACTGGGGGTCAAAGGGAGGAGGGAAGACACAAAATACAGGTACACACATTTTAAAAATGGAACAACTATTCTAGTTTCATACCTATTGACAGAAGGCAGACTGCTGTAATTATTCCCTTTGAAAATATTCTATAGATAAGCTTTACAGTCAAAGACCAAAATACTTCATAAGAACCTTCACATAACTGAAG